CCCCACGATCGCCCCAAGCTCGACGAGTAATTTCACAAGATTCCATTTCGGCGCTTATTTCGCTACGGCAACCGGAACCTAATGCGGACATAGAGCTTCTAATTTACCCGGCCATAAGAACTTGGGGCGTCCGTGTGCCAGCGGCTGACAGGTCTTCGAATTTCGATAGGGTAGTATTGGAGTTTACTGCGATATTGTATATTTGAGTGAGGTATGTAATTGTTGTGTGGCCTAGGTGTTTGAAATGGAGTATGTTTACATGGTCTGGTCCAGTTGATTTGTTGTTTTTTGCTGTTTTTATGGCTAGTATAGTCATGGCTGTTGTTATATTTATTGGGTTGCCCTTAAATGATTTAATTATTCTATCTGTTATCCTGTTATTGTGTGAGTTTTTGTGCGGATTGGTGTTTATGAACTGTTTGTTGAATTGTGTTGCCTTCTCTTTGTCAGTGTATGCTGTTGTGGTTATGAATTGTATAGTTTTTTTAGGTTCTTGGCGTGGTGTCTTATTTGTGAGTGATGAGATTGTCTTCCAGAGAATGTGTGTGTTGTGTTTGTTATTCCAGTTTCGATCGAGGTGCTCTTTCCATAGGTTGCGTTTGTGCGTGTTTATTTCAAGGTCTATATCTCTGTTGAGTTGTTAGATAGATGGGTCATGTCTGTTTTGTTTCCTGATGTGGTTGCGTTGTTGTATTTTGTCTCTGATGGCTTGGGGTAGAGGTGTCTGTTTTGTTTTATTTTTCCTATGGGTATATGGTGTTTGTCTGCTTGTCCAGTGAGTATTTTATTGGCAATGTGAATGTTGGTGGGTGCTGGAGTGTCATGGAACGCTTGGTCTATTACCTGCGAGTAAGTTATCCAGTCTGCTTTGTGGTAAGTATGCGTGTGGGCGAGTTTTCGTTGAGTATGATGTGATTGGAGTTTTGTATAAGTTAGTTAATAAGGTTACCTCTATGGTCTGAGTTGGGAGAGTACCAGGATGGGTGGTGAGCATTGATGTCTCCTAAAATAATGGTATAAGGCTTGTTGAGGAGGTATGTGAAACAGTCAGTGATGTGTTGGTCTAGGTTATGATGGTACGGTAGGCGTGCGTCTCTGAGAGGGATGCATATGTTAGCTATGTGGATGAATTTGTTGTTGGAGAGATGTACTTTGACTAGTTGGTTTTCAGTGGCTTCTTGGTTGATGTGTTGTGGAATTGCGATTGCTGTGAAAACTATGTTATTGTGAATGTAAATGATAAGTCCGCCTCCTGTCTTGTGTGCCCTATCTTGACGAATAGCAGTGGCTCCTATGCCTCTTCACGCGCGTTGAAGAGGAGTCGCTACCTCAATAAGGCAGCACAGAGCGCAAGTTTAGTTGACGGTAATTTCTACCATCTCGCGAATTTTCAAAAAATAAAAGATTTTTCCAGCCTCTATTCCATTGTTCTTTTAATTGCAGTCTGAATCATTTTTTACGGCTCGTTTCCAAAGTTTTGTCCATAACTAAATTAATTATAATAAGAGTTATGATTCTAATTATTATTATAATGCTATGTACTCCACATCCTAAGCTTTACTTCCCCAGAACCACTTCCCCACAGGTTGCGTTCAAACGGTGCTGGCAAAGCTTGTGATGATCTGTGTTTTCTGAACGCGTATTTGCCAGGTCGCGGCTTCCACTCCTTTGCCGGAAACTCGTGAGCAATCGAATAAATGTCTAAGAGTATTTAATGCAGAGCAGATTCCATAGTGTCGCTAAGTTCACAGGAGTATTTTTCCTGGATAAATAGGCGGCCATTCTTGAACGGAATGGGGTTTTGAGTGAGAAGAGATCAAGAATATTTAACTAACGTCTAATTTTTAATTGCTGGCATTCATTCATTTATTAATTGTGATGAATAAAGGTTCACTTTTCCATAACAAATAAAATAATATTATTTCATTTTATATTCAGTTTCTCCAATAACAAAAGACTTTACCCTGAAGCTGAGATTTACTATTCATCCATTTAGTGAATTCTGAATTAGGGTGGGATGGGATATTCCGTAATTATACAGCGAGCTTTGTATACATTGCTTCCCATTTCCACATCGTCTACGTATTGCTTGATAGGCTTCTCAGCTGCGGCGTCTGTGATCATAGGTCTCAGCTCATCGTTGAACCTGATTCATGGTCGTCAGTTGCAGATCAGCGATCTAGTTTGAGATGTTGTGTTGTAAAAGACTGCCTTGTTGCAGTCAAGAAGCAGGGTAAAATACTTGTCTTTTTGCGAAGAGAACATTTCTTAATTTACTGTCCACGGATGAGGGTTCTACAGCTATCCTGTTTTAACGCCTTGATCATTCTAGCTTCCGATGTTACTGATTCGATTATTTTTAACATATCCTTGAACTCAATGTCGGCCAAATAAAATCAAAATATTATTAATAAATGTTATTTTTGACGACGCTGCGATAGGCGGGCCATTAAAATTCTCAGTGGGTCATGGGCGAGAGAGACTAAAACAATTTATTCGACCTCAGCATTAAAGGATAACCGATATATACCATTGTAAATTCAATCAGTTGTAGTTACGACATGAAATTGAATGTTTGAGTAACTAAGACGAATTAAAGTTGGAAAATTAATGAAGAAAAAGTACTAATAACAAGTACTCAGAATCGATTCAAAATCACTATCGGACACCGGCACGTTGCACTGCTCGGCATGGACGCGTACTGTTGAATGAAGGGGATGCGCAAGCAGGTTTCCTTTTCAAAACTCCTATGGCTAAAGAGTTGAAAGGTTTGTTCTTTAAATACCTCCCATATGTAAAACTTCATGTATTGCTGGTGAATAATTTTAAAATCAGTTTTTTTTTCAAATATAAAGACACACTGCCTGTTCCCATGCGATCGTCCATAGTTTATCTATATAGACATATAGTTGTGCGCTATGCGCATCTGCGTATGTCGGTATGACATCCCGCAACTTTTATACCAGGCTGGCGAAGCATAAAGGAAGGAGTTTTAGGACATGAAACCTGCTTGCGCATCCCTCTCATTCAGCAGTACGCGTCCATACCGAGCCGTGCAACGTGCCAGTGTCCGATAGTGATTTTCGAATTTTAGCCTCCACGACCGGTGTTTCCGACCTGCGAATTTTAGAGTCCCTTTATATTTTTAAACAAAATCCTATTTTAAATGCCGCTAATAGTTCATATCCCCTCGAAATTGTAAATAGATAGGTTTGTGCCCGTGTTTGCTTCGTTTTGTTTGTTTTATTCTTGTTTGTTTCTCATTTGACGATTAATTATGCTTCAATGTGAATTTATTGCTAATTGTTTGTACAAGGGTGCGCCAGAGACACTTACTTATTTGAAAGGTCAATAAAAACAGAAGTACTCCAATGATTGTTTTGAAACAATTTTTATTTGAGAGTACAATTTACCAATTTTTTTTCATACAGTCTTGCATATGACATCTGATAAATGGCGACCCACATTGCGCATATACTGATGAAGTTGATTTTTGAAATTCGTATCCACTCTTTGCAGCATATCAATCGGTATGTTGGCAAAGGCGTCTCGAATGTTGTTCATGAGGTGTACTATGGTCCGTGGTCGATCGACATAAACCAGAGATTTCAAATATCCCCATAAAAAGAAATCGGTTAGAGTCAAATCTGAATCGCGTAGCGGCCATTGGAGACAGCCTCTGAGAGAGATGAGGCGGTCGGGGAAATGTTGTCGCAACAAATTCATTGAATCTCGTGCTGTGTGTGCTGTGGCTCCATCTTGCTGAAACCACACCTTCCTTACGTTCATTTCTTCGAGTCTTGGAATAAAAAATTCCTCGATCATGTTCCTGTAACGAGCTCCATTAACGGTAACTGCGCGTTCGTTTTCTTAAAAAAATAAGGACCAATTATTCCCATTACCGACGTTGCTCACCAGACAGTAACTCGCTCGCAATTAATGGCGTCTGGCGAAGCTCACGTGGATTTACACCACACCAATAACGCATGTTTTGTTTGTTAACGCAGCCGGAAATATGGAAGTGAGCCTCGTCACTGAAAAAAACGGCCGCATCTTCAGGCAGGTTGTCAATCAGCATTTCACATGCATTATGACGGGCAACAAAATCGCGTTCAGTTGATTCTTGCACAACAGCAAATTTATTTGAGCAACAAACTTGGAAACTTTCCCCTTCAGATGCGCCCCCTCTCACCCCTCTACCCGCCCAACTCACCGCGCAGGAATTTTTTCAAATAAGTAAGTTTCTCTGGCGCACCCTGGACCTGTGGATTAGGTTTTGAACTGATGATGGAGCTGGTCTCCGAAACATTTTCCTTTTTATCAAGAAATGGTGAATTTTCTGGCTATTTTCTTTGCTTTTAAATTTTTGATAAACTTGCGATTTAAGCAGTCATGTGATTTTAATACTTCACAAGCAGTTGCAGCTTCAAAAGCAGTTGCTTTTTAAATAGTAAATAGAAAAAAATCTGGTTATTATACTGGGCTCTGATCTATATTCTTATATTCTACAGCTAATTTCTAGCAAAGGAATTAGCTTTAGGGAAAGCACACCCTGTTGTTGTATACGGCCTCTCTAGAAGTGTGATCTTTGAAAAGTACTTCTTAAGCGTATATTAGTATATTAATATATTTCCCTTAACTTGATTATAAATTGGAGAAGACATGAATTTGCATCGCAGAGAAAGAAGCCATGATATCATCATCAAGACGATATTGTAACGCTTACATCTTGGCGCATTATGCCACTGTTTGACGTGCCTGATTTTCTGTAAAATATTGTTCAAATGTTCCTTCATCAGAAATAAATTGGGGAAAATGAACGCATAACTGCTGAGAAATTACTGAAATATTTTACACAACCCCTGAACTTGAGTCCAATACTCTCGGCGTAGTATGCAGGAGGTGAGTCAACATTCGTTTCAGTTCTGTCGCAGAGGCTTGCCTTCGGTTGGTTACGGGACAAAGCATTGGCTAGATCCTGAGCTTCATTGTTGGTTTGATCAACAATGATACGTCGTCCAACACCTGCCGTGGCCGGTTTATTCCAAAAAGTGGTCTGGGGTACAATGGGACAGTTCGTTTGGGGTACAATGGGACTGTTTTTTTGGGGCACATTGGGACAGAACCCACGTCCCACGACCTTCCAATCCTTCTAGTCGGGACCTTCAAATATGAAAAAGAAATTGACCGTTTGCCGCCAAATATGAAAAAGAAATTCGTTCCAAATATTCGTTGAAAGAGATATCAGGCTCTTTTTCTTCTTCATCAGAAAAAATTCCGAATTCTACATTATTCATCTGAAGCAATAGAACAAGAATTACTGCTACGAAAAAGTTCAAAATTTTCTCAAACAATTGCGAGAGAACCAAAGCTCCGCACTATATTACGTTCGTGGAGAATTTGGTTTCACTGAGCCAAAAACATATTATGTTGCCTTATTAATAACGAAGAAAAGAGACGAAAATGACGCATACGAAATATCTTACTTGGTTCTTAGAGAAAAATCAGCTCATTTTATATTTCTAGGTGCCGCTGATCTCGTATCAGTCCGTATAGGAAACATTATAGTCATTCTTGGCAACCCTACTGAATGAAATTATAATATGAAATTTGTCTATGATTTTTATGATATCTTAGTTAGGTAAACTGTCCCAATGTACCACCATGGTCTGTCCCACAGTACCCCGGGCCGAGGTACTGGGACATTTTATTTCATTTTTTTATATCTAATTTCTGTAAACTGTTCTGATCATTGCTTATGGATTTAAAAATGTAACCAAGGATGTGGTGTTTAGCTTTATTTTGCATCTCGCATTTTAAAACGGAAATTAGTTGTTATATTTTTCATTTATTTTTTATTAATTTTACCCAACTTTCCCCCAATTCTTCGTTGTATGTGTGTTAGATATTGACTGGTTCTATCCTATGTATTCATTACTTTTTTACATGGTAATGAAAAGGAACTGAATCCTCGTTTGTTTCTGCGATTATGTATACATTCTAGCAGATGTAAGGTGTGCGGATTCACTACGCGTGAGAATTATTTGTATTGAAAGAACTATTTTTAATTCTAGTTTTCATTTACTTCCAGAACCAAGATCCTGAACTGTGTTCTACAGAGGGTCTAGCTTCCGGACAGTCATTGTCATTGAGGTAATTAATATGACAAGGTCGAGATGAAAATTCCTGAGAGACTGGGCCTCATCATCCTGTCCAGGACCAATATAGTGAAAGCAATTATCAATTTACCGACCAATGGATTTGTCAGGACATTTAAATTGTTTTCAGAGGGATTTAAGGTTTCAGATTCGAATTGTGTTCGTAATACACAATTTTGTACTTATTTCATTCGAAAAAACAAATTTTGAGCGATTCAAAACCTTCACATTACTTGATAATGAATCATGTATTTTCGAAACGAAGAAATCTTATACTGAAAAAATCCTTAGAAACCACATATATTACTACTCAGAAATCCTACGAACAGCCTAATTAAAAAAGTTGAAAAAATCAATATGGAAATGTTAAATCAGAATTTCTCTCAGGTCTCCAACAAAACCTGCATAGAAGAACAACTTCTGCCAAAGTATACCAATAATAACAAACCACGAACGTGAAGAATGCGGCGCACGATTAACTTGGTTAAAACACCAATTAATTGCTAAATTTAAATAAAACCCCGTAAGAATCTTCTAGTCAGCGTTGTTCCCTTTTAAATGCATTTGGTCCAATTAATGAACCGAAATTTGCTTATCAAGAGAGGAAACACGATATTTATTATAGTTTTGAAGTTATGCCGATTTCCAGCAACGCATTTTCTTAGCGATTCGTCATTCCTCGCCACTATATACAAATGCCATCGTAAAAGGCCTTGTTTTATAATTATATCTTCTTCTAACACCATCAGAAGAAAATTTATGTTATTTTATATATTTTGATGTTTCAATTACGAGCCGTCAAAAAAGTCGAAGAAAATACCTACTATACGTTAATTGGCAGCGAATGAGTATTGCTACGCGATCACGTTGGGTACTTTGAAATAATTTGCTACTGCTGGTAGTGATATCGCAAAAATCACTCGTTGTACAGTGGTGTTTCTGTGAGCGAGTATTTTTTCTTTAATTTTAACTGAAAATATACTCAAATGCTGGCACTTGTTCCTAAAGAGTTTCAATGAAGTTCTTCTGAAAAAAGTTTATGAAAAAAACCTTAAATGGTAAAACCATGAAAAGAGTCTGGTAAATCATGGCTAATATATAAGGCCTATTTAAAGCGATTGTTTTATTCAAACTCTGAATTTTTGGCCATGAGTCAATTCATAGAACTTTCCGTCATAGAAAATGGATGATTTTCTGTAGTCTTCATGTCGAGTAACACCAATGACGTTCCTTGAAAAAGAAGTTAGTTAATCAAAGTGATAAGTACAGAAAATGGGACTGAAAGCCATGTATTTTAAAAGCCTATTTCATGCATGGCTATTTATCCCACTCGTCCCTCAGGGTGTGATGGTGCACAAAGTAAAACTACTAAGCAAACTAACTAAGCTAGATGGCACTAAAGCAGGCGCCATCTAGCGTCACGCCGGCGCAACTGTCGTACGCAACGCTACTCGCTTCAAGATGAGGCCCAATTTTACATTAACAAAATCTCCCTCTGTTATTGAGTCAATAATTCTTATAAATCTTACTGATGAATTCACTTTACACGCGTTTAAATATCGCGAATGCAGAAATAAATTGATCCCGAGATTTTTTAGATCAAATCCATCCTCTCACTTTTGAAAATATTATGTGAAGCAATGCATCTGAGAACAGTTTATATACACAGAAATTCTTGCTATTAGGTAATACAATTTATTTATGCATATAAAATGTGAATAATTCTCTTCAACGGTAAGCACTTGATTTTCATACCAGAAACTGTTGACAAGACAATCATTGCTGCTGAAACTATGAGATGATTCCCATCACTAAAAATGCAAGTTTGAACCTGCGGTTCTAAAACTCGTTTTATATAAGCGATTTTAATATTATGGAATTTTGTTTTTGAAGTTTGTTTTTGAAGGACATTCTGGTCAACAAAACAGAAGAAAAGTTCCTTGGATTAAATAGGATTTTTCATTCGAGAAAAAGTATGTTTGCCAACAGTGAAAGTAGAAACGAAGGGTTTCATCAGAGCTTCAAAATATTAGACTATTTTAAAGTATTTATGAATTTATACAACAGATCATTGGTGAAATTATATGTTCTTACATCGTGTTTTTTTATTTGTAGGTTGCTCATCTAACACTGAACTGAAGAGCTACTGCACTGCCGCACCAGCAGTGCAACTTGGTGGTTGACCGCCACACGACAGCTGCTGACGCTCAGCGACAAACTACAAGACTACAGAACCAACACAACGAAGAAATAAGATTGAAAATTACAAGCATGATTGAGATCATTAGGTTTTGCATGCTCTTCGTTATATTTCGGACACCATTAAATACGAATTTGTCCAATAAAAGACCGTCGAACACACGTACGTTGATGTAAAATTTCTTCAAGATGATGCGCGTTAACGATTTTGGTAAACCTTATGAGTTTTTAAGCCATGAACTAATGTAAACGAAATCATGAGAACCGTGAGGAATCTACTTCATTAACTTTTTAGCGCCTGTCAATTCTCTGTTCATTAATAGCTCACATTAAAACAGCTTATAGTTGAGTTTATTCGGAGATAAATTGCAAAAAATGAGCGACCGACTTTGAGGATAAACAGACAGGCAGTGCTCATTCGACCGCCCGTGATCTCCTCGCCCCTCGGATGTTGCCTGTGAGGATCGCGAGAAATACCGAATACCAAGAGACATGAATGGACGAGCTAAAAGTATGGATTAATTGCATTTGCGTATTAAGATTGAATTCCTCATTGATAGCAAGGCAATAAATTTGAACTCGAGATATAAGGCTCAGGATTTTTTTTTTTATCTTCAAATTGGTTTGGCAGAAGGCTAAGAAATAAATGCCCAACTCCATTTCCCGCACCCGGTACAGCTTGTGATGGCGAGGTAAGGCCAATGCCTCCATATGTAGTCGCGTCCAGACCGCGTCCACTTGAAGTGCCACGCCGGACCGTCAGGTTCTGTACCAGCGCGTGTGGCAGGTGGAGTACAAGGCAGCCGTCAGGAGTGCGCGAGGCCAGGTCAGAGATAGTCTGAAGCTGCTAATTGGTCAGAGATAGTCTGAACTATCCCAGGTCAGAGGTAGTCTGAACTATCCCAGGTCAGAGATAGTCTGAACTATCTCAGGTCAGAGATAGTCTGAAGCTGCTAAATGAGGACGAGCAAACCATTCTTTCTTCTTCTGAAGATGAATAATTAAAGGAAACGGGAACGAAATGGCCTCTTGACCATTAAATTGAACTCAAAATAGAAAAAATCTTGAGAAGACACTGATACCACAATACAAAATTGTGCCGTTGATCAAATTAATTCTAACCGATGTATGCGCAGACAGAACGTAGCTGAAGTTACAGAAAATTATAATTTACAGCCACTTCAGAATATTAAAATTAAGATTAATTTTTTTTAATTAAATCAGTAAATGCTCACGAGCCAAACTTTCCTTTATAACTTCATGCGTCGGAAGCTTCCCTTACGTTTGTCTTCCAGTTATTTCAGCAACAAATTCAAGCAATCCTGTTCCGGGTCGACACTCTTACTTGATAGTTCTCCGGTCATGCCAAAAATACACACAAGGTATTTTTTAATCGTAAATCTAATTTAAAAGTAAAAAAACGAGGGGCAGTAAACATATGTATTTTCCAGCTCCGGTAAAATTCCAGCACGCTGCAACACGTAACAATGTTTGCAGTGGCAGAACTGGTCTGCAACTGCAGTGCTGTGATTGCTGCGGAGATGATGCCGGAGTACAATGGAGTAAAGTCAAAGCCAAAGAGGGTGAGGAGAAAAATATTGTGCAAGAAAAGGAAGACATCTGAGATGGCTTGGTGTTTTTAGTATGCTCGAGTCTGGGATAATAAATAGCTGATTTGGTTGAGCTAGGTAATGTTTTTATCAGAAGTATACAACAACACCAAGAATGACAACACTGAAACAAGTGTTAGACATTCGGCGAAATAGAACCATACTGACAACACATCATTTAGTTAGAATGTAAGAGCATATTACAAGACTTGTTGGGAATGCTGTGCATAGAAAATATACTGTACATGGTCAGTGCAATAGTAATTAATTTTTCGAATATTTATTGAGATGATGAGAAGATTGAATACCTGCAATTTATCGAATGTACGAGAAGAGAAAACGATGGCATGGGGATAGAGCAACATGACAATTTTCTAACGTCCGTTGACTCTTTAAGACGGCGAGTTGTTTGATGAAACACCAAAACCATCGTAAGTTTTTCATGAACGGAAATGTGTGTGTTCCTCATGCAACCAAATATTACGCGTATTTTTCAGGAATACCGAACTGCGAAACGAATAGCTTTTATTTCAGTCTACCAATGTGTCTTTGTTAAAAAACCTCACAGGTGAGAGCTGAGTTCCGAGCGAGTCTTCAACATATGGGCTGAGGGAAACATCTATCTCAAAGTGACCATTATAAAAACGGTAATAGATATGACTCCGCTATAGGCAAATATTATCATTGTAAATAATAATATAAAAATGTAGTGCAAATATCGATTATATTTGAGGTTTTGAAATATCTGCATTTCAATTTGCGTTCTGAAGCAAGTGTAGTAGCCCTTGGAGTCCAAGTTATTTACCTTTATTAAGTAATTTTTTCAATATCTTCCGATTTATCGAAACAAATTTTGGCAACTTGGGCCGACCACGAATGTTGAGGCGAAAGAAGAAAACCACGAAATTGATTTAATTCTTTATCAATATTCTTGACCGTTGAAGATATTTGTGCTATATTTAGGTTGAAATTTGTCATGGATAGCTATTAATGATTGGTTTTTAATTCTCTTGACGCCTATTTCATGATTGGACTTACTGTATAAATTTTCTGTAACCTAAACGAGTAGTAAATTTTGTTGTGAATGCTGGCTCAGGCGTTTGAACATTTCCTCATAGCCTGATAGGGATAAACATAGAGCTTTGTTTGTTATAAAACATTCATACATTACTTGAAGAGTTTGTAATAGATATTTTCTAACAATGCGTGATGTATTGCCAACATGGAAGCGACATCGCAACATAAGATGTTGGTGAAAGAGCTCAATGCCGTTGGATACTGCACTTAAAGCGGCAGATTCTGTAATGAATGAGTTTCGGTTGTTTTATAAATGAGATAGAAACTTGTAAATAATTTCACATATTAACACTGTTTATTAATCTACAATACGCAGTCAAGGGAAAAACAGAATGTTGAATACAATCCTTGTGTGAAATTATTTTGACAGGTCATGAGGATTGCTGGAAATTTTTTTCGACTGGGAGTTAGAGGAAAGCACAGGATCAGGCAATTATTGTCATTTACTTATCCCGAAAACTCTGTTTTCGTGATGTTTCGACTCGAATTCAGGGAGCCAAATCTGGGCTTGCAAGGATAAACTCCACCGTAGTTTTGGAGATAACTCTTAATGAGTTCCACTAACGGAAAAATAACGGCATAGGTGGAGTTCTTGACTAGTTCCTGATTTTGGCTGCGTTGGGCGGTTAACAACCGTTCCATACGCACCCTCGTTTCGTAGGGGCTAATAACCTCTGCGCTCGAGTAAATTTTAAGCGGCTTATTGGGGGCTAGTACACTTCAATAGTCGCGCTTTTGAGGCGTAACTGCCACCCCGTTCCTGCGTGGTTGTTAGCATCTCGGTGCGGTTAGTTCCCGTACCATATGCTGTCTATCTTTGTGATTCTTGGCAGTGTATTAGGGCTAGAACCCCAAGTCTCTGCGGTTCGTTGTCGGCATCTTGGTGCGATTAGTTCCCGTACCATTTGCTATCCGTTTTTGTGATTTGGCAATGTATTAGGGCTAGAACCCCTAGTCTCTGCGGTTCGTTGTCGGCATCTCGGTGCGGTTAGTTCCCGTACCATTTGCTATCCGTTTTTGTGATTTGGCAGTGTATTAGGGCTAGAACCCCTAGTCTCTGCGGTTCGTTGTCGGCATCTTGGTGCTGTTTGTTCACGTACCAGTTGCTGTAGGTTTTTGTGACTTGACAGTGTTATAGGGCTAGAACCCCTAATTTCTGCGGTTCGTTGTCGGAATCTCAGTGCGGTTAGTTCCCGTACCATTTGCTATCATTTTTTGTGATTTGGCAGTGTATTAGGGCTAGAACCCCTAGTCTCTAAGGTTCGTTGTCGGCATCTTGGTGCGGTTAATTCCCGTTCCATTTGCTATCCGTTTTTGTGATTTGGCTGTGTATTAGGGCAAGAACCCCTAGTCTCTGCGGTTAGTTGTCGGCATCTCGGTGCGGCTAGTTCCCGTACCATTTGCTATCCATTTTGTTACTCGCGGCTGTGTATTAGGGCTCAAACTGTGTGGTTTCTCGGCTGTTTGTACCCCTGAAATGTCAATCCTTTTTCCGTGAACTTTTGGACTAAGACGAATAATAAATTGTGGGCCTCGCGTGAAGAATCTTGTAATTCGCCTGAAGATTACCAGTATATTACGAAAAGTTCCTTGTGTTCATTTCCTCCTCTCTCCAACGCAAGGGAATTTAGAGCCGGACCAAAGAGCGATTCTTTAGCCCTTGCGTGTAGGATCAGTACAAAAGTCTACACCAAGTCGGCACGCTACTTGTAAATATTTCAACTTCGCGGCGGTGTTTCCGGTTACACATGTAAAAGAATTGATAAAATATTTTAATTATATGAGCACGACATCAAACTCAGATTGCGAAAAAAATTTTGTATTCGTACACTGTTTTGGATATAGAAATGTTTAGTGAATAGCTCCTTCACAAATTCTGACCTACCGCAAGACACAGACGTTATTTGGATTGTTAAAGCAAATCGTGGAAGAGAAAAGTTAGCATTCAAATCTAATTTCTAGCTGAACCCCGGGATATCCTTCTGGCCAATGGAAGTGAACTGTAAGGAGCGGCTCTGATATTAGCTTTCACTGCGCGGCCTTTGGAAATTTTTTTTTATATAGTCCATAAGCTCTTTTAGAATTTATATATTTTCTAGTCAACATATCAGACCGTTGATAGTTAAGATAGCACGAATAAAATTATATTTGTTCATATATGTGTAAATACCGGGTTTATGTTCAGTACGAAACATCAAGTCTACGGTGTTTGCTACAAAATGGCTTAATATGTTTGAAATTTTATCCAATATATAATTAGTTTGCTTTGATCGCAAGTTCACCAAGATTCTAAAAGCAAAGAAAACTCCAAGGAAATTCTTCGTATTTCCAATGAAAACAATAGAGAGCAGCTTCATCATCAGGTCAAAGATATAGAGAATCTAATTGCAATCAGCAGAGAAAATCCGAATATTTTCCGTTAAGAATTCATCATTATTTGGTTCGGACGTGGAATTGTCGTAGATGAATGTGATTCTGGTGTTTTTCCTCTTGTTAAAGAGACGGAATGGCATCCAAATTCATTAATCCGTTAGAATCGAATATACATTCAAGATCAGGGTTCTGCACAAAATGTTCAACATATTGAAATAAATTTAATACTTTCATTTTATAGTGCCACAAAGGAATAAGTAAGTTGAGAAGAGGATGCCTAGTAGTGTTTTTTGTTGCGCCTTCACTACAACAACGAACACATTGTGCGGACTGCGGAGCAGGGAACTGCATGGGCGCCACAGAGAGACCATACAGAAGCGCAGTGCAATATACCAGTGTTGCCGGGTTTTTTCTTGGCGAGAATACCAGATTGCCTAGCTTAAAATACCAGAAGTTCTATTGTTCCAAAACAGACTAGTACCTCTAAATTTAATGAAACTATTCGTCAGAAACGTTGGTTAGAAAAAGAAAAAAAATTGTCTCTTATGTAGGTGCTGTGCATTTATCTGGCTTGACGATAATTTGGCAAATTGATTACGTTACATTTTTTCCCTCTGTTTGAAACATTTTAACACTTTTATTTTCCTGTGTTTGATTACATTGACAATTTTTTCCTTTTTTATCACAGTGTCGCACTTCTTCCCCTTCGCTCAACATGAGCAAGCCACGGAAATAGGTCATCTTCCTTTTGCTTATTTTCGTACATGCTTGCATATTGTATTAATCTTACATTTCGGGTGTGATCACTTGTTGCGATTGAGCAGATAGCTTTTGGTCCGAATAAGGGACTCCAGTACCTTAGTTGAAAATTTATTTCGTTGCTTGTTTTTCACATAGGTGACTTGTGAAAACACTTGCACCACGAATGCATTGGAGACATGTTAAAGTGGGCAAGTGATGCAGTAGGCAGCCAGTTCCATGAATGGATGATGATTTTCAAGATCTGTGAAATAATGAACGGCACCCCAGAATTCAAGTGGCACACTAGAATTCAAAACCACAAAACAAAAATGATGGAGCTTGCGTTGCAGAGATCGGTTCGACAACCTCACTCGTCCTAGGCCATATCATCCCTGATCAGCAATCAATCAAGGATCATCACTCTCGTGCTTATATTGTACTAAGCACTTTTGTTAAATGTTAACAATTAGATTGGGGTTATTTCATCAAGCGGTAAACTTACGGGTCCAAAAATAGCGGGAAAGCTCTAGTCGCTCCGCTCTGAAGGTAATCTATATAATCCACGCCTACGCTGGAGTAAGTTCAAACTTCAGAGGTGGAGCTTAATGCAGTAAATTTACAGTAAGCCAGAAAATACCAGAAAAATACAAGATTTAGGCAAATACACCAATATACCAGATCTAAAATATTCATACCAGACACCTTCTGAAAATACCAGATTTGTGATATTTGGTATAGGATTATACCATCTGGCAACGCTGGACAAGGGCCCAAGGCGATGAGTCACGTAAACAAACGTAACTTTCAAGAAAATCCTTGAGGCGTTTAGATGACACCTGGCGTTCGTTTTATAAACTAATCCTGAACTTGGTGAAAAGACTGGTAACACCTTCAGGACGAATTCTCGGAAACCAATTTTTATTGCAAGTTTTCCACGAATAAATGTTCACATCAAAACCAATATTGACCAGATTAAACACGAAGCTATTTATTCACAATATGCACGTTTGAGCGTTGATAGGTTTTTTACTTAAATTTTTACTAGTACGTTAAACGCCAAGTATGCACACATTTTCCATGCATGCGTTTTTTAAATCGAAACCGATCTTGGTGTAACCGATTACGAAGCTATTTATTCACAATTCACTCATGCGTGCGTTGTCACGATTTTTTGACCGCTTCGTTTCCGCGTAGTGCGCTAAATGCAAGTTTCAACTCCGTTTACACGCCTAACTAACCTAGCGCGAAAACAAAGCATACAACAAAATTCTGACAACACTCGCAGGAGCGACAACCCTCTTAATCGTTACCTATAGCAACTCACGCTGATCCAAGACATAAGATTAACTTTTAGAATTTTTTTACTACGCTTCCACTAACAGATAAACATGGGGGTATTAATCTTCAACATTTAATTACGCTATAGCTGCAGATAATTTTTGGCACGTATTTCTTTGAAATTAAATTTTCATCGCTGAAATGTAATGAATACATAGATAATAATGCAAAGATTGATAATTTTGGAATACTAAGTCAATTAAATATATATGAAGCAAACGAATACATGAATAATATGATATTCCGCAATTATGTACTTCAAAGTTTCATTTCTACAGAACTGGGAGCAACACTAAATATTTCCCCTAGACTCTTATTGAAAAAAGTTGTACAGTTATAATTAGGTAATCAAGTTTTGCTTACTTCTAATCAAATCAGTCGAAGCTTACTTCAAACTACTTATTCCACAGTTTTTTTATAATCAATGCTTTTTCCTTGTGAAAGCAAATTTTTCCGAAATACGACGGGAAAAATCATCACGACGTATTCCATGAAATTGATCAATAAAAAATATAAACATTAGTATCAAACCCAACGATAATCCAGTTAAATTAGCATGCAAAATATTTGTCAAATAATTCGCTATCTACCTTTGATCTCTTAATCTCAAGTCCTGAATCAGGAGGCCGATGAATGGCCAGTGGTTTAGACCGTCGTACCGTAGTGAATAATATATTGGTCACTCACCGTCCGTCTCTAATTACTGTCCTAAAATATATATACGGAAGCTTTCTTCATATAATGCGTCATACTTCTTTTATCATAGGGACAAGCTCTCCCCGTTTTGGAGTATTATGGTCATAGCTCCTTTAGTCATAGGGACAAGCTCTCCCCGTTTTGGAGTATTATAGTCATAGCTCCTTTAGTTATAGGGACAAGCTCTCCCTGTTTTGGAGGAAGCTCTCCCCGGAGAATATATAGCAGAACACGTTTAAGCACGTTCATATGAAATACCTGAAGTAATAATACATCTGCATTTTGCTTGAAAGTGTTCTTGACATTACTTTCTTAAATTTGGTTGATATTGCAATAACTTGAGAGCAAGATCGCGTACCGCATGACGAAGCTGGTGCAGGCGTCAGGAACTCGCTTGACGAAGCTGGTGCAGGCGTTGGGGCACCGCTTGACGAAGCTGGTGCAGGCGTCGGGCACCGCTTGATGAAGCTGATGAAAAGCGTCGGGGCACCGCTTGACGAAGCTGGTGCAGGCGTCGGGGCACCGCTTGACGAAGCTGGTGCAGGCGTCGGGCCACCGCTTGACGAAGCTGGTGCAGGCGTCGGGGCACCGCTTGACGAAGCTGGTGCAGGCGTCGGGCCACCGCTTGACGAAGCTGGTGCAAGCGTCGGGCCACCGCTTGACGAAGCTGGTGCAAGCGTCGGGGCACCGCTTGATGAAACTACAAGCGTTTGGGCACCGCTCGATGAAGCTGGTGCAGGCGTCGGGGCACCGCTTGATGAAGCTGGGACAAGCGCCAGGGCACCGCTTGACGAAGCTGATGCAAGCGTCGGGACACCGCTTGATGAAGCTGCAAGCGTCGGGGCACCGCTTGATGAAGCTGGTTTAGGCGCCGGGCACCGCTTGATGAATCTGGTACAAGCGTCGGGGCACCGCTTGACGAAGCTGGAGCAAGCGTCGGGACAAGCTAGGCTTTATTAATGGGGTCACGACATTCACATTCCTTTGAATGAACTTCAAAGTACCTAGAATATTCCTACTCAGAAGTGAGAAAAAGATTAACACCAATGGTCTTTGCAAAATATTACAAATGACACCAACATAATCGATGCTTCTCACCGTCGCCCCTATGGTCACGTGAAAACTGAGGTCACAAATACATTACATACATTTTCTGTCAAAATTCTTAAATTACTGAAAATTTTCTCTTGCGTGAAAATCATTTTGAATTTTATTTGATGATTGCGGCGGGTTAAAAATAAGAGCATCATAATTATTTTGTATTGAGGACACGTTCATTAAATATTTTTGACAAAATAATACGTCATCGGCCATTGAATTGTTCACGGGTGTATATATATATATGGAATGATTATTCCATCGGTCTGAACAGTTAACTTTATTATCATACAACGGGGATTAGCCACAAGCATTAGAAGCTATGGTGCTATGAAAGCTAGTACAATTTCTACTGTCACATTTTGTTATTGGCACGATTGTTTAGTGTTGAGGTTGTTTTTGCATAATTCTATGGTAGAAAACAACGCGGTTTTCCCAAGCCTTGGAGCACCCAAGCTAGTAACGGGAATGTTCAACTTCTTTGAACCATGCAAATATGGTTTAAAAACTGACGTTCATAACCTTCACTTGTCATTCAAGTACAGTGGAGCCTTGTCCCTGCCCTGACAACTTAAGCAGCAGCGCAAGCGGCGGCCCCTCAGACAGAGGTGCCTTCAACGAGCCTCAATGATCAGTTCAGGAGGAGGGAGACTCGGAGACGCTCCTGGTGCAGGGCAGCGGCCCCTCAGACAGAGGTGCCTTCAACGAGCCTCAATGATCAGTTCAGGAGGAGGGAGACTCAGGAGTGCAGTGTCAAGGAGTGCAGTGACATTTGGTGTAAGTGCAGTCACAACTGGCGCAGGCGCAGTGGCAACTGGCGCAGAAGCAGCGACAAATGGGGGTCGTACAAGTCTTCTTCTTGGCCGCCGTCCTCTTGCCGGTAAGTACTGATCGACTGCACAGTAATTCAGTCCATTATTATTTCACACGCCCATTATCTCAGCATGAGACTTTGCAATACATAATTAACAACGATATTTGAATGTTTTCTCTTTTTGTTGTTTTTTTTCTCTCATAACACGAACCCCGTGTTGCTCTCTAACAACACGAACCTCGTGTTGCTTTCTCTTAACACGAACCTCATGTTGCTCTCATAACACGAACCTCGTGCTGCTCTCTCATAACATGAACCTCGTGTTGCTCTCTCATAACACGAACCTCATGTTGCTCTCTCATAACACGAACCGCGTGTTGCTTTCTCTTAACACGAACCTCATGTTGCTCTCTCATAACACGAACCGCATGGCGCAGGCGCAGTAACATCTGGCGCAGGCGCAGCGACAAATGGGGGTCGTACAAGTCTTCTTCTTGGCCGGCGCCATCTTGCCGGTAAGTACCGATCGAGTGCACCGTAATTCAGTTCACTATTATTTCAGACGCCAATTATCTCAGCATGTGACTTTGAGTGGCATAATTAACAACGATAATTGAATATGTTTTCTCTTTTTGTATTGCATTTACATTCGTTATAGTTTTCCTAATTTCTGCAGAGAACTTTGTATTGACATGACTGCAGCTCAGAGCGCTGATGAGTCTCTCGTTCTGCTCCTGCGCTAACGCAAAAGTGCGCCTAACGAACTTTAGTTGAGAACAAAAGAACTCCTCTGTAGTGGTGCCATTATAATAATAAATAATTTATCATCTTACAAGCCCTATAGGAACAATTCGAAACAAATTATGTCAATCACACAAAAAAAAGAAAATTGCTGTAATTGAATTAGAATATGCAAAATTTCTTCTCCACTATCATGAGAACAATCTATTCCTGTGTGGTTATCATGTTAACCTGTTCATGCACACATAGCTGGCTATAATATTTTGCAAATTGTAGTAATAGTGAATCGTAAACTTCAATTTCACTAATGGTAATTGAGTTAAATTGAGACCAAACGACTAACTGGGCCAATAAGGAGAAATTCTTTTTTGTTTTATTAAAACCCGTCAAAACTTCCTTCGCAGTTTGCTTCAAGTTGTTATGATTTTCCACCATGTTCAGGCTACAGAGAGGTTTTGTAGCATTATCAGGATGCTTTCTAAAACGTAACATAAGACAATATTCTGCACCGCCATGCACGCAACATCAAAACAATATTCTGTCACCGCCATGCACGCAACATCAGAACAATATTCTGTCACTGACATGCACGCAACATCAAAACAATATTCTGTCACCGCCATGCACGCAACATCAAAACAATATTCTGTCTCCGCAAGTTTCTCCGTTGCCTTGATTTGCTGGTTGCCTGAGCGATTCTATAGCTCCACTAACCAGTTTCACTCTCTCATAACACGAACCTCGTGTTGCTCTCTCATAACACGAACCTCATGTTGCTCTCTCATAACACTTACCTCATGTTGCTCTCTCATAACACGAACCCCGTGTTGCTCTCTCATAACACTTACCTCATGTTGCTCTCTCATAAGACGAACCTCGTGTTGCTCTCTCATAACACGAACCTCATGTTGCTCTCTCATAACACGAACCTCGTGTTGCTCTCTCATAACACGAACCTCGTGTTGCTCTCTCATAACACGAACCCCTGTCTCTTATACACATCTAGATGTGTATAAGAGACAGCTCATAACACTTACCTCATGTTGCTCTCTCATAACACGAACCTCATGTTGCTCTCTCATAAGACGAACCTCATGTTGCTCTCTCATAAGACGAACCTCACTGTCTCTTATACACATCTAGATGTGTATAAGAGACAGCTCATAACACGAACCTCGTATTGCTCTCTCATAAGACGAACCTCGTGTTGCTCTCTCATAACACGAACCTCGTGTTGCTCTCTCATAACACTTACCTCATGTTGCTCCTGTCTCTTATACACATCTAGATGTGTATAAGAGACATCTCAACCTCATGTTGCTCTCTCATAACACGAACCTCATGTTGCTCTCTCATAACACTGTCTCTTATACACATCTAGATGTGTATAAGAGACAGTCTCTCATAACACGAACCTCATGTTGCTCATAACACGAACCTCGTGTTGCTCTCTCATAACACGAACCTCATGTTGCTCTCTCATAACATGAACCTCGTGTTGCTCTCTCATAACACGAACGTCGCGTTGCTCTCTCATAACACGAACCTCGTGTTGCTCTCTCATAACACGAACCTCGTGTTGCTCTCTCATAACATGAACCTCGTGTTGCTCTCTCATAACACGAACGTCGTGTTGCTCTCTCATAATTATACATCGGTAGTGTCTGATATCAAGACAAACGGTAGAATGCAGGAGGCGACGCTAGTAGACGTTAACATACCTTTAAATGACTTATTGAACGACTAGATTACAAAGGAGTGTTCCGAAGAAGTCATTGAAGTGAAACTAACGCTACGAGGGATACTTTTGATTGCGGCCTCGCTAAACTTCGTGCCGCCATCCTACAATCTCTTGTACTACAGATTGTGTCCTCAATAAACTCCATGCCACCGTTCTAACAATCCATGGGCTACTAATTGTGTCCTCGTCCAATCCCCATGCCGCCGTCCTAACAATCTCTTGCACTGCAGATTGTGTCCTCAATAAACTCCATGCCACCGTCCTAACAATCTCTTGTACCACAGATTGTGTCCTCAATAAACTCCATGCCACCGTTCTAACAATCCATGGGCTACTAATTGTGTCCTCGTCCAAACCCCATGCCGCCGTCCCAACAATCTCTTGTACAACTGATTGTGTCCTCCCTAAACCCCGTGCCGCCGTTCTAACTAACTTACAACCGAAAGTGTCCTGAATATAGAATATCTCGCAAACATACTCGTACAGACCACATTTAAATTTCCATCATTATTCCACTACATCATTCCACATATGAGTGTCGCTGTGTGATGAGTTCCACATATGAGTGTCGCTGTGTGATGGATTAGCTGGAAAATAGCTTATGTGGTATTTAAAAATTGCCAAAAACTAGTTTCAGTAAAGATCAAAAAGTTATTTGGCGCAAGCCGATGCACAGAGAAGCCATCAATAAACCTTGAAAAAACAATCAGTAGATCATGAAAAAATTCACTTCAATGCATTTAACTTTTTCAACTTCCATTTATGAAGTTATCACGTTGATCACCAAGCTATTTATGATTGATGTTGATTTATAAGCAGAAGCGGATAATGAACAAAACATTTCGCCCTGTTTCGAACTTCGATCTATATTTGTAATTTAAGCGTGCAAATATAAGAATTACGTAAAAATAAACAAAAATAAGTAATTATATGAATTGATTAAAATAAACGAGCTATGGCCTTTAGTTGAGGTCAGATTTTTTTATTTATTTTAAAGGTGACGTTTTTACTTAGGGTCTATTGTTGTTGGTGAGTCTAGACATGGTCATTTGACATCACGATGGAGTAGAAGCGCACTCATGAGACATCAAAGACTTGCAATATACATCATGCACTTGCAGTACACTTCATGCACATGCAGTATACATCATGCACTTGCAGTACACTTCATACACATGCAGTATACATCATGCACTTGCAGTACACTTCATACACATGCAGTAACATCATGCACTTGCAGTAATGTTGCTCTCTCATAACACGAACCTCGTGTTTCTTTTTCATAACACGAACTTCGTGATGCGCTTTCATAACACGAACCTCATGTTGTACTCGCGTAACACGAACCGCGTGTTTCTCTTTCTTTATAAGTAGTGTCAGGCATCAGAACAGTCGCTAGAATGCAGAAGGCAACGATAGTAGACGCCAGAATTCTTTTAAATGACTTTAAAAGCGACTTAGTTCCAGATGAGTGTTACGAAGATGTCATTGAAGTGATACTGCGAGGGGTACTTTTGATTGCGCCTTCAATAAATTCCGTGCCCGTCCTAACAAGCTCTTGTATAACTGCTTGTAACCTCACTAAATTCCATGCCGCCGTCTTAACAATCTATGGGCTACTGATTGTGTCCTCACCAAACCCCGTGTGGCCGTTCTAACAATCTTTTGTACTACTGATTGTGTCCTCAATAAACTCCGTGTCATCGTCCTAATAATCTTTTGGGCTACTTATTGTGTCCTCGTCCAAACCCGTGCCACGGCCCTAACTCCTTCCTGTACTACTGAAAGTGTCCTCAATATAGAATATCTTGTCAATCTAATCGTACAGATCAGTGAGATCACCTTTCAATTTCCATCATTATTCCACTACAGCTTCCACATTTTTTATTCTCATGAGTATCTCTGTGCAATGGATTAGCTGAAAAATAGCTTATGGGGGTATTTCAAAATTGCCAAAAACTAGTTTCAGTAAAGATCAAGAAGTTATTTGTTCGGCGCAATCCGATGCACAGCAAAGCCATCAATAAAGCCAGAAAAAACAATCAGTAGATCATAAAAATTCACTTAAATAATATGACTTTTACAATTTCCACTTATGAAATTATCACGTTGATCACTAAGCGATGCTATATCAGAATACTTAAGCCATCAGATGACACAAAAGAGCAGCAGCGGATTATGAATATAACATTGCACCGGTTTCGAACTTCCATGCTTGGAATTCAAGCGTTTATATATAAGAATTCCGTAAAAAAAAATAAAAAACAAGTATTTTCATGAATTATTGATGAGAATATACGAGCTTTGGCCTTAAGTTGAGGTTGGATTTTTCGATAAATTTGAAGATGACGTTTTCACTTATGATCTCTTGCGTGTTGTTAGCGAGCCTAGACATGGTCATTTGACCTCAGGATCGAGGAGTAAACACACTCATAAGACATTAATATACGTCACTGAAAATATATAACACACTCATTTCCAATATACGTCATGCACTTGCAGTTTACTTCATACACATGCAGCATCCATCACGCACTCGCAGGATACATACACATATAAGACGTCTGGAGACGAGAGATACTTTGACAGTCCTGCATGGTGATGGACAGAGGCGCCAGTGTTGCCTCTCCCTTGACAACAGCGCCATATTTGATCGCTTTAGCCGTGACCTCGTTGAGTGTCTTGTAAATGAACGCCTTCAAGCACCCCGCCTCGCCCGACAAGACATAGCGGCGTGTGTGTTGTGGTCATCAGAGATACAAGCTTTATAATGAATATGGCTCATTGTACGTTAGGTTGATTAGGATGAGCGTCCTTAAATATTCTAATATTATTTGGGCGTTTAGCGGGAGACAGAAATTGGGATTAAATTATCGATGTAGCTTATTCAGGAGGCTTTAGAGAAAAATGATAGGTCTTTTTCGTAACACTAACATCTTCATATAAGCAGAGCCGGGCAGCGCTACTTTGAAATGTAGTGGCCGCTACCGCTACATGCTCTAAACGTAGCGGGCGCTACCGCTACCGCCACAT